AATAGACCGGACCAGCCTACAAAAAAGAAATGGGAAATGTGATTTTGTCACAATGACAGTTTATTTTAGAGTCGAAAGAGTTGTAATTCATCCATTAGTTAAGTTGATGATAATTAAACGTTGGTATCGATTCTTCTTTACCTTTCTATGAAGATGGGATCCTTAAAAGTTTTCTCAGTACGAGACTTATTGCTTAGAGTATTTTGGTTTTGGGTAGGCCACAAGTGGATTTTTAGTTTTGCAGACAGGCACAAACGGAGATGTCGATGTTTCACACTTCTACAAGTTTAGAAATGTCTCAATTAGAATACGGAAACAAATTTCTCGAAATATGCACCATTTGCACCTAGTATAAGATCCAAATCCATCTTTTCTGTTAGGAACTAAATCATTAGAAAAATTAATAGAATTCCTCTCCTGTGAACACATATCAAATTTTTTATAATGTTTACTATTGCATTCTATAATTTCTGCGATCATGAAATTAGATTGCGGGTTTCTGTCGACCAACATAATGGCTGGGATTGTGACAAGTAGTTCGTTAGCAGTTATTAAGGTTTCTTCCTAGTTTGAATTGTGTGCATTCAAGGTAAGGTACCGATAATTTGGTAAAAGGATTTGTATACTTCTAATATGTTTAATCCGTGGACAGGATCAAAAAATCGACAAAGCTGGGGACGTGATTTTCTTATTCTTAATTGTTTTTAGCATTGTCTATACAACACATCTCATGTTTCAGTTTGTGGGAAGAGGGCCGCTACATGGCCAGGGCCCAGCATGTATCTTTTTCCTTGTGTGAATTGCAAGTTTCATGATTTGAGACTTGTAGATATTGACGAAAGGATCTTGGTAAATAATTGAAAATTTGGAACAAGTTAGTTTAATCCATTTGCAAGATACATTTTTTATTTTATAAGATAAAAAATATAAAAAATAAATAAAGCAATAGCACTATTGATGTTGTCAAAATTAGGGTGCAACCTGAATTCTATTTGAAGGATAATTGAGAATTTCAATTAAAGTTGACTTAAAAAGAATTCCATTTGGAAGGTTATTTGAGAATTCTATTCAAAGTTTATTTGGCAAATTCTAGTTGAAATTTTATTTGGAAGTCTAACTGAGAGTTTGGAATTTGTGTTGGACTTAAAGATGTCAAGATTTGGACAAGAAAATTTTTGAGCAACAATTAAGGCAAAGGAACAAGTTTTTCCCGAGAGTTAGCACTCCGACACTATATTCTCAATGTCCCAGTGTTGTAGCTGTCGCGAGGTCACTACTCGCCTACTACTCAAGCGGTGGCTAGCTGACGCTCAAGAATATATATATATATATCTTTCTATA